TTTCCCCCCCCCCCCCCCCCCGAGGAAATAATTTTCAGAGGGCGGCTGCTCTGTCTTGAGTTGGATCCAGGAGAGGAAAAGGAGGGGTCATGCCAAATATATTTGCATAGGCACAAGGGACATGATATAACTCATCCAGCATGAGCACAGTCTCACCTGTTGTCAGGTGCTGGCACTTTATCCTCAGTGAAGATCAAAAAACCTCTGCAGTGGAGCAGTTACACACTACATCCCAGGGGCTACAGAGAAAAAAAAAGTCATAGAGAAGGAGGGCTGGAAAGGACCTCCAGAGGTCTAGTTCAACACCTGCCTGAGGCAGGATCGTCCGTATCCAAACCATGCCATGAAGGAAGTGTTTGAGAATGATTATTGCAGTTTGGCTGTTTTTAGAACTAGAGTCTAGTACTTCACAAAATGTAGCATGGTGGAAGCTGATGTATGTCTGAGAAATCGGAGGGCAGCTATGTACAGGTGGGATATGGTACTGTGCTCTCTTGTCCAAAGTGGCTGCATCCCAAGTGCGGCTGTGCAGTATGTGGCACAGCAAACATGTCTCCAGTGGCACATACCGCACATTCAGCTGTTCTCCTTGCTGAAGGGAGGAGCATGGGAGGGCTGGGGGGCAAGTTGATCACTGGACAGCCAGGAGTCAAAAAAACCCATGCAAAAAAAAAAGTGGTGCACTCAGGCACAGCGTGTGTGGCTCAAAACCAGAGCCTGGCCAGGCAGAGCCACACTCCAGCTGCTGGCCACGCTCTAAGCAGCAGGATCACCCTTGCTGCAGCCCCAGGAGTCCCCCAAGACCCAGGTGAGGCTGCTGGGACCATCCCAGTGCTGGTGCCAGCCTCCTTTGCCCCACGTGGGGTAACCTGCTGCACTCCAGAGGGTGCATGGCACAGGCATTCCCAGGGGACAACTAGGGCAGCACAAGGTGTCCTGCTGTTAATAACCCCTGGGGAACCAAACATCCACGCTCATGTGGACGTGGCCAGTGTGTCCTGTTAAACATAGCTGGTCCAATAAATGATATCACCCTAAGAAATCCTTACCTCTCGCATAATTTCTGGACCATCGCAGCTACAACATCACTCATATACTACTGTATCCTATTAAATCCTCAGATGAGATTTGTTTTAAAGACAAGTGCATGTTGTAGATATTTATGATTATGTCTAGGCAGTACAGCACAGTGCTATGCAGATATCCTAACAACTAGTTTATTACTGTGCTTTAAGTGGAACAATAACTATGACTAATATTTAGAGATATCACCTTGATTATGTTGCTTAACCCAAGGAAGCCAATAAGAGACTATCTATGGGATGCTTTATACAACTGGGCAAATAATTCAAAACTTTTATTACAACTTTTAGTAAATACATGAATTAGCATTATTGAGTGTTTACTATTTTAACTAGCAAAATATTTCACAACACTGTATAGCTACTCTTTAAATGTTTGAGTGCATCATTTCTAAAACTACATTACATATTCTGTGACTTAACATTTTGTTAATATTTGAGAAATGTATTGTTCTAAGAACCGTTTGGTCCCTCCTAACATGTTGTAAAACACTTCAGATTCATACACAAACATGGTCCAAAGAGTTTGCTTGCACAGCTAATACTGTTTAAACTAGGCTTGCTTCCAGCCTAGATAAATATCCCTAAGACTGCACAATCTATCCAATGTGGACTTCTGTTAAATGATTCAGACTGACATGGTTTGGATTTTTCCCCCATTACTGTCTCATATAGTGTATTGGTTGCTCCTCTAAATTCCCCTAGATCCACAGCTCTAGAAGTTGTGTCAGGAACTCTGAGCAGGGAACATTGTAAATGAGGCAGTTAAAGCCAGAGCTAGAGTGGAAGCATGGCTAAACTGCAGCAGCTATGAACAAGGGTTGGCAGAGCTAGTGTGTACACACTGAACCATTAAATTGGTTCTGTCTCACTGGTGCCATTAGGAATGTTTCAATTCTTAGTATAGACTTGACCTAGAAAATTCACTTTTACCAGTTTTGGGGTATCATTTACAGTAGAGAAATTAAACTAGTAAATATTCCTAGAATGTTCAAATTCATAGGTTCAAATACAAAAATGCCCCAACTTCTCTAATCATCTGTTTAAACAGAATGCCTTCCAGCAGCTTTAATTACTCAAGTTAAAGCTTAACTGACAAGCTGACATTTCTTTCCCACAATATTGGTCTTTAGAAAACTCCCAGGTTTCAGTGTTTCTAGGATCTGATCTAGGAACTATATGATAGATTTTGCAAATTAAATGGTGTAAACATAGTACAAAATGTAAATAGATTTAGCAAACTGATGTGGCTTCAGCAAACTGTGTGTACTTAAACTGGTTCAGTGTAACCTGTTCAAACACAAACGGCTCAGTTCTTTAGGGAAGATCAGGCCTGAGTGACAGCAGTGGCAGTAGGTAGCTAGGCCTTGTATATTTGTATGTAGTTAGTACACACTCTTATTTGGAGCTCAGCTATGTCTTGGTGATTTTCTCACATTCTTAATATTGTGTTCAATAGTATTAGTCTGGCCTGGCAGAAGTTAGGGCAGGGTGGCACTTTTGAGACTAACTCGTACAGATATGTATGAGCTTCTGTATGCAATGTCCTACTTCATCAGATGCTATCAATGGATTCTATGGTCTTATAAAATTAAAACCTCTTTCACATTGACAATAAAAATCTTGAGCTATAACATGATGTCAATTAAATGTAGTACAGACATTAGCTTAAGTGTAAATATTCTTGTATAAGAGATGACCTCATGCTATTTAAAACATTAAAAGTGAATGTTGCTTCTTAGCCAAAAGGTCAAGAAGCTATTTTAGTATTTTAAACATATTATAAACCTAAAAGCTTAATTTAAAATAAAAACCTAATTCTAGAAACAAACTTAGCACAGTACTTTTCTAGGTGATGTGTGTGTTCACTTGGTACATCATTTGTAACATTAATGTACTAGGCAACCACAAAAACATGAAAAAATAAGGATACCATATACAAAATGATATCATGCAATATACATAAGATACAAAATGATATTAAATAGAAAAAAGTCCCTATTTTACTGCAGCACAACCATCATACTTCTACTTCATGGATTTTCATTATTGATGTAGTTTTTGTTCTGCTGAGTTACTGACCTAAGTGTTTTTAGGAACGGCACATATCAAATAATATCTGTGTCAACGGACAGTGTGCTAAAGAATTCTAAATGCTTAGAATATTGTAAATGTTTTGAGACAATTGTTATAGATATCTTTGCTAGGGAAACCTTGTAGTATTATACGTGTATAGTTAAATTAGTGTCATATGTTCTTGGGAATGAGAACAAAAATATAACAGAAATTAGGAGTAGTCACGGATGGAAGCAACAGGGATGCAGCACCCAGGATTAAATTACCACTTCAAGGTCATAGCTAGCTGTCTCCATCAAATTTAAAAGGTATGTGGGGAAAGAGTACTTTGAAAGGGAATCCCTACACCTGTATGGGATGCAGCTGTAGGGGATGCCCTTGGGAAGCAGGTATTTTTGTGCTGTGTGGGCTACCACCTCCATGTCACATTGGACTTGATTCTATGTGTGACCAGTATGTATAACTTGTACATTTATTATTTTGTATTTTATTTTCAGAAGGGTTGTGTGTTGTTTTTATATTTATGAGTTCCATGTGAGAACATGCTTTAGGGACATAGTTCAGTTTCTTATGTTACAGTGGACTGTATTTTTTAATTTGGTAAGATTCAGGATAGGACAATCTAAAGGGAGGAAAAAATGGTTCAGTAGTTAAGGCAACATCATAAGAGTTGAGAAATCTAGGTTAAAGTCCCTGATTCATGAAAGACTTGCTATGTGATTTTTCTCTTAGCCCATTTAGGCTTCAGGAAAATTGAACTTTTCTAACTCGGAGGCATGTTGCAAGGATAATGTGTGTAAAATGCTCAGATAATATAGTAATTATCCATATAAATGCCTTAAAATAAATAGGGTAGATTAACTAGTAGGCACAGTGAGCCCTCACTCTGGAAGTCAGGCAGTAATATTAGTAGCTTTATCACATACAAGCATGAATGGGTGCTGTGCATCTCAGATCTAGGCCAGGCACTCATGTACGGTTAGCACAGCTGACAACTTCCTTTCTGGGCTCTGAAATGAACTAGGTGCATTGAGACATATTCTTTTAAGAACCTGTGCATATATGGCAGACCTAGAAGCATACAAAAAATGCCAGATTCCTCAGCTATCATCCTGTCTGGCTCCAGAGTTTCAAGAAGTGAATTCCGTACCTGCCTTCACTGGTTCCACACTCATCTGCATCACCCCCTAGCTTCCCACTCCAGGCAGCCTGGCATGGGATGGATTGTGAAAAGATGAAGTGCGGCTACTTAAGAGTAGCTGTCTTTTCTGATTCTGAAGTTAAGCCTAGAATGTGAAACCAGTTTTTGCTAACATTTTCCAAGGGTTTTCTGCTTTTGGAACAGCGTGAACTCTCAAATCACTGAATTGTTCAGAGTGGAATGGAGAGGAAATTATAAAGGACAATACAAGTTGTTTTCATGTTCTTGTAAGAGTGGAACACATAATATATGCAGGCCATAGGCAGATCTAGGAATTCAAAAAGCACAAGGTTGGCTGCAGCTCTCGCACCTGGAAGGGCACCAGGGCAACAGCTTGCAGGGACTTGATTGAGTTTCTGAAGCAGGTAATAAATCTCTCCAAGCACTCCCCAACTTTCGGTATCCCCTCCCCTACAGTACAGGAACCTCCACTTCCCTCCCATTCTCTTCTTCCCCTCTGCTACAGCGGTTGCTGTCCCTGGCTGACTTGGGGGCAGGAAGCAGGTACCCTCCCACTGCTGCTATTGCTGCTGCCAGGCCTGACACCCTATACAGCTGTTCTGTGCAGAGCCAGCTGGATGAGAACAGGAGTGGTCCTGGGGCTTCCTTTGCCTCTGAGTCAGCTGGGGATAGCAACAGCAATGGGTGGGTCCCCACTTCTTCACCTGCTCCTTGTTTGACACTCTCAGAGTGTTCTACTCTTGGACTTCATAGAGGACCAAGGTGTCTGGGGCTGAGAGGAACTGGATCCACCTGACCCTGGATCTATCCCTAACAGAGGCATCTTTTAACTGCTTCATTATTCATGTAACTTCTTCTAGCTCAGACGATTAGTTTTCAATAAATGAAAATGTGTAGAATAGAATTTATAGCTGTAATGCATATATGACTTCTTCTCCTAAACTGAAATAATTATGATAGTCAGAGAGTCAGGATATTTCACAAAGTCAGTATCCATTGGGGAAGTGGAGCAACAGAAGATGAGCAGGCTTCCATTTTCCTACCCCCAAATCCCCAAATCAAATGCAGGTCAATTTTTGAGGCTTGAGTAGAAGACACTTAGAAGAAGAAATGGTACACATTTTCCTAATCCCATCTCTGCATATGTAATACAGCAATAAAAACTCCATGGTCTGAAATAGTTTGTGTCTTATATTTTACTATAGAGTAGGTATAATGTAAACTCCATTTTATTTCTCTGTAAATGTCAGGAGAGCATAAATCAATAATAGAGTAGTAACTATGCAATTAGCTCATGTCACCCCTGTACCTTCACATTAGCATCACTGAGAGTGATATTACCCTTTCAGTGACCTCACTGAAAGCAATAACATCCTTTTCTGCTAAAGTTAATTTTTTTAAGTGAACTTAATGCTCCTGAAAGGTGATGGATTGACAGCCCTAGAAAGTGAAGTCCCCTATTTAGCCACAGTGTGGTCTATAGCCATA